ATTAGCCATGTGATATTGGATGCATATCATATAAATATCAAATATAAATGAAATATAATAATCAGAATGATTTTTTTATTTCTCGGTTATTTGTTCAAACTTCATTTTAACAATTTAAATTTTGCCTTTATACTATTATAAATTAACATAAAAACTATTTAAACTGAATCACAACTACTTAGTTCAAAACATTAAGCCGTTTGCTTGAAAGTTCCTCCATTCAAAATCTCATAAATTGCTTTGTTAAAAATAAACATGTTTATTCTCAGAAATACGAAAAGGAAAGTATAAGAAAATCTCCGGTCAGATATGATTTGCCATTTCATTTTTGCCACTTTATCGCTGTGGCAACGGTCAGGTTTGCTGGCAAATATTTCTCCACTTGAGCCCATCACAATTGCTTTTCTCTCTCACTCACTCTCTGTCTCTCTTTCTCTCGGTGGCTTATTTTCAAGATAACTTATAAATGTAAGGCGGAATCCTTTTTCATTCAATCAAAAGGGATGATTTCGTTCTGTATTAATAAATTTCAACATTAGGTACAAAGTTTGAATAGAACAAACCAATACGAACGAGTAACATCAGTTTATTCTGCTCATTTCCGTATGTCGCCCTGATGTCCTCTCGTTCCTTAGCCATAATTTCAGCTACATTAAGCAACCATGCGTATGCACAGTGCGTAACGCAAAGGGACTCTCATGACTTACTCGCCTAATAGTCCAAATGTGATGGCATTCCCGCTAATTTCTCATTACCCAAACTAGTTACGCGTTCGTTAATGGCCGGAATAACTCATCTATTTGGTCGAGAAGAGACGATAAAATAAAATTATATACCATTTTCTACTGTTTTTCTCCGTCGTACTGCTTTTTTTTTGGGGGGGGGGATCTTTTAATTTAAGAGAAATGTATTCACTGGTCCGGGCCCGGGTCCAAATCCTCCCTTCAGTTGTACAGTTATTGTAAATCATGAAGACCGAATTCACGACGCAATTTAATGTATTTTAATTATCTCTACAAACCCATTATGATATGTGTGTGGAACATATGGATACAGTTGATTTTGATGACATACCAATTGATTAGATCCCTAGTTGCCCAATATTGTATAAGATTGTTTGTCTATTTTAAAAGATTATGACTTACATCGTAATAGCTGTAGAAAAACACGATTTTATTTTAGATAAGATTGATTTATTGTCAAGTATTTTTTTTTACAATGTTTTATTTTTTTAACGAGGGTTAGCAACAGGAGAGGTCATATAAACCCTCAGGGTGCCGGTATTTTTGAAAAAAAGCCCATTTGTAAGTTTGTCGTGTTCGAATGCAGAGCCGCTGGATTCGAACCCGGGACATTTATTTACCTTACAGTGATGAGCGCCGTGTCAACGAAAACTGTTGCGGCCACCGACGCCCCCTCCAATGTTTTAAATTCTACGATAAATTGATATATTTATGTTTTTAATTTATTACATGTTAATTTTTATTTATTTACTCTTGTTATATTGACATAACTAATCTGCCATTAATACTCTTTAAAACGCTTCCCATAACTTCGAATTTCATGAACTTTTATGATCAAATATTTAGGTGGTTTGGTAATTCGAGGACCGCTTTTGTTAGGCGAAAATTATATAAAAGAAAAAAAAAGTTAACAATTGCTTAAAGTTGCATGCACGATGAGTAGCGAGCTGGTTCGCAAATCAAATGCTGTAACCTGTGACATATTGCAAAAGTAATAATTGCCAACACAGAAATCGTTTGAAGGGAAATTAAAGCATCAATCCTGGTATATTACCCTCTGTCGGACTCTTAAAAAAAGGGGGGTCATATTCTGCCGGAAAGAGGCGCCGTTTTACTCACAAATCCCACTACGAGTTACCAAAGTATTTTCGAAATAATAATTCAAACATTAATTATGGTGAAATTTTGAAAGAGTGCTATCTTCCGATTATTATAATAAAGTATATTTTATGTGAAGTTAGATACGTTATTAATTACAGCATCACAAAATGGTTGAGGCTGATGCTTACTAAGTCTGCTAGTAGGTTATTCGTGCGCCTTTTTTTAGACGGCAGCGACCTCTCAACAAGGATATCTGTCGGAGTGACGAAAGTTTTCCAATTTGAATACTTCTTTGGCCAAAAAAGGAGCCAATAGGAATCCTCTAGGCTCGAACCTTATTGTGGCCTTGCACCTTGCCACAAAAAGGGTACATTTAAAAATGAATTCTTATTGTTGTTTAAAATCTGGTGGAAAAATACTCCAGGTATGAGATGAAGAGATTCATAAAGAGCTAAGCGCCATATCTACTGGAGGGTAATAGAATCAGGATTCTGGTTGGACGCCTGATGGGTGCTGCCGCCTAAGAATGATAGGAATAAAGACAGAAGAAATATCGTGCATACTACCAGGAAGAAAAGGACATAGCAGAACACGTTTTATGTTTTGTGAGGGTCTATGTAGGTGTAGATTCTTGCAACTAAGAGAGGAAAAGCTGCAAGCTCCTACACTAATTAGCTGCTGGGAAGGCAAGGGTATGGAGGTTGATTAACAAAGCAGGCCAGTGGTTTATTAAAATAGAGGATCACGGTAGATCTACTCAGATTGAGGTGCAGAAGGCCTTGTCGCTTTTATCCCTATCCGTATCCCTGTCCTCGTAAAACGTAGACGATCAGTAGACAACTGGTTTCTATCTGAAGATATTCTAAATAGAGAAGCTGTCCTTCTCTGCTCATCATTGGCTTAAATTTGGACTTTCTTAATTTTATTCTTATTTTAATTTAAAAGCAGATTTGTTGATTCATTAATGAAAGTTGTGGTACAAGAGGCTTCCGGTTTAGCAAAATTGTCTCGTATTCCATTAATTTATTTACTGTAGGTCCTAAGCCAGGATTAGGGATTGGTGGTTATTTGTGTACTCTTTTGTTTTGTATTAATTTGTTTATGATTTTTGGATTACTGTTTGATTGGATCGTTCTTCTTAAGGCTTTATATATTAAAAGATTGTTCATTTATTGAGAGGGAGGTTTATGTCGTGTTGTTGCAATTATCCTAGAACCTGGTCCGTTTATGTTTCATTTTACCTCACTTTACTTTGATTATAACAATTAACTAGTATGAGAGACTCTGCGAACTTTTTATGTTGCAGTTTTCAGCTTTTTCCATTGTGAAATTTATCAGTTAGTTTTTAATTGTGCTCTTTAAAAAATGAAGATTTATGTTGAAGTTCCTCACGTTTAAATTCACAGCGCATATTTCTGTGATGACTACGTATTCATAGCCGGTAGTTTGCTCGAACGGGAATTGGAATTGGTTTAGTTGCAAAGCGATCACAACTCCAGTAACCTTGTCCGTACCAAGTTCCTCAGAATTGAAAACTTACGTTCTCGGAGCTCCCAGCTTGAATGCACAAGTCGGTAATTAATTTGAAAGTTTTTATTTAAATTTTTTCAAGAAATTGAAAGTAAAAAAATTGGGGAAATTAGCACTTGCACGATCTCCCGCGCAAAAAAAGGGTCAGCTCAGGCTGGACTAAGGCTTTTCTTATTAGGTCAAAAATGATTTAAACTGTAAAGAACAGGATGAAATTATTAAATCCTTGTCACAATTCAAACGAAATTTCACTAATATAATTGACCAATTAACCAAAGGAAGGAGGCATTACGGAAACTTCAATTATATGTGCGAACATTTATGGTTATTTACTTCACCGCGAATAACACCTTCAGAATCCTGTCAATACTGATCAGTTATTAAATAAAAATCCTTTTTTGACCAATGGCAAAGTAAACTGTCAAATCGAATAATGAAATCGACTGGGAGATGGCAGGTTATCAATAAAAAAACGGACAATACGCTATGAATTAATTATTATCCACGTTCTAAAAATAGTAAAATAATGATTTTCAAACAAAAAAGATATTACTTTTCGATCATTTTAGCTATTATTTATAATAGTTTTTAATTCTGAAAAATGGAGAAACAATACGGTAAATCCCGTTTTATAATAGTGCCTTGTTGACTAGACTTCTAAAGAGAAGGTAAACCAAACAAATCAATCAGCCCCCAAAGAAAACAGGTTTTGGCTTTCCCAATTTATCATCCGGCTGAAGCATTGGGAATTTTTTTTTATAGATAAAACGCCTTATCGTTCGCATAATCTTAATGTTTCCTGGGCTTGCCTTCACCAGAAATTATATTTTCTCAAAAAAAAAATCAAAGAATCTCTTCATTGTTCTTTATCCAGCGCAGCTTTAATGCTCATTTGTTTTAGGTTCATTTAGGGTTAATTTTTAATTTAAAATTTATTCAATAAAGGAAAACAGGATTAATTAAATTACAGCAGTTGTGTACAACTAAAGTTGACAAACTCTTGGGAAGTTTGCGTAATGAAATTTCTTGAAATATGCTGAACCGGCATAGGGTCACTTATTGGGTCCGTCTTCACTCGCGGGTTTGTTGAATTTATTACTCAAATGCGTTTGGCATGAAAGGAATGTAGCAATCAGCCGATTAATAAAAACAGATAATATAACATATATGGTAGTGTTATATCGATCACGTCTAGTATAATAACTCACTGATTTTTATCTATAGACGATACTTTTTTCCATTTATACAATTTTTTAAAAATTACCACAGTTCTTTATTTTCCAAAATAAAAATAAAATAAAAAGGTCTGAAACCAAATTCTTGTCTTAATTGAATTTTATATTGTGAAAGGTTTCAGTTTGGCCGGTGAGGTGATTAACTCTCGGCTTTCTCTGATCATTATGGTCCGCCTATTCTCGTTGGCTTTGCCGGTGTGACGAGTTTCGGTCGGAACGTCGACTTGACTGGTTTGCCTTTGTGTTATTTTGCCAACCGTGACCCTTTTGTGCGATTCTGTTTCTCTTGAATTTTAACAATACACAAAATAACTCGTAAAAGAACCACTGAAGTATCGAAATGCTTAAACTTGTCTAGCTTGATAAAACTAGCGATTATAAACCGACCGTGGTGTTGTAAGAAAGGGGAGAATTTTTAGCACTTTGACAAGGTTGGGATTATAAACACATAAGACAAGCCAAGTTGAAAAATGGCAAACCAGCTTTTATCGGGGCGTCGGTGGCCGCAACGGTTTTGTCGTTGACTCGGCCTCATCACTGTAAAATAAAGGTCCCGGGTTCGAATTCACCATACGACGTACTTACAGACGGGCTTTTAAAAAAATAAAAAAAGGAAAAAAGACCGTGATATGATGATAGAAAGCGATTAATCTACAAATTGCTTTTTGCAATTTTCGTATGTATGTTGGTTTTTATAGTTTGTAATTATTTTTGTATTTTTCCTGCTCAGTAGTGTTCTCTTAATCGGGCAATTCAATTATATTCGTTGAAGTCGATTTTTGGTGAAGGTTGAATTGAATTTTGTTTTTGGCTCTCTATACAGGGTGTTCTGCTACTCGTGTTACGAACTTTGCCAGTAGATTCTACATTCAAAACGGAACCAAAAAGTTAATTAATTACTATGGTTTGAATCTCAACAGTTTCAGTGTTATTCCCCTTTTTTCTGATTTTTTAATTTTTCACGACCTTACTTCAAATAAACAATGATAACTTCAAAACTGAAAGGTTTTGGACAAATCCGTCGATACCATTGAAAACTACGTTAAATTTCCATTAAGATGTGCTCAATCTTGTAAACTTGTAAACGTTGGTGAAGTAAGCGTTTTGGTAGCCAAAACTTTAAAAATAATTTTTTGTTCAATGTTGAAAAACTTACTATGGTGAATCGAAAGTACAATTTCCAAACTTAAAAACCAGCTAATTTCATAAAAGGTACTCCATTTAATATCCTTTTTAGTGGTGTAATTGCTTTTTTTAATTACATCTTTCAAAAACGAAGAAATTGATGAATGAAAGGAGAAAACCGTGGTTGACGGATTGGTAAGGTGGAAAGATAAATAAGAATAAAAAATAAAAAAAAACTTACTGAAATTTTGAATGAATTTATTAAACGTTTTATAATTTGGGTTCCAAACCGAAATAGTGCAATTGGTTACTATTTACCCACACGACTGCTACTTTGATTAAAGTATTAATTTGTATTATTATTCTCCGGAAAAAAGAGCTTTTAGTTCATTCATTCCAAATTTCCTAAGTATTTACATTCTTTTTTTTGTTTATTTTTCCACCTTACGAATCCGTCAACCAGGGTTTTTACCTTTTCTTCATCAATTTCTTCTTCTTTGAAAAAAGTAATTAAGAAAGCAATTACACCACTAAAAAGGATATTAAGTGGAGTTCCTTTTATGAAATTTGCTGGTCTTTAGGTTTGGAAATAGTAGTTTAGAATCACCATGGTAAGTTTTTCTACATTGAACAAAAACTTATTTTTCAAAGTTCTGACTACTAAAACTCTATTTCACCAACGTTTACAAGTTTAGTACTGTGTACATCTTAATGGATATTTAACGTAGTTTACAATGATATTAATGGATTTGTTACAAACCTTTCAGTTTTGGAGTTATTGTTTATTTGAACTAAGGTCGTGAAATCTTAACAAATCAGAAAAAGGGGGATAACTCCAAAACTGTTGAGATTCAGATCATATTCCATTAGGACTTTTTGGTTCCACTTTGAATGTAGAATCTACTGGCAAAGTTTGTAACACGAGTAGCCGAACACCATGGATAATGTATAGTTGCAATTTGTTTGGTTTTTGTACCTTTTTTTTTAGCTTAGGAGGTTCACTATCCTGTTCCGTTTCTACAATAATTTGTATGTTTTTGGTTTCAAGCCATGTCCGATTTGTAAATTTTTTACAAATGTTTTCGGGAGACTAAACTCAATTCATTATCAAAAATGTGTGGAAAAAGGAATAGGATCTGTTTGAAAAAAAAAAGTTGGTATAACAGAAATCTTGAAATACGGTTATCTTATTTTATTTTTTAGTTTGCCTTCATTGCATGTGAGTGGAGCACATAACGTCGGCCAGTCTATATATTTCAGAGCATGACGTGAATTTATTTGTCATGATCATTGATTTTTGTTTAGTGAGAATAGAAAAATTTGCAGTTATGTATACATGTACTGTTATCACAGAAAAAAATTGCCATTACTTTCCAATATAAGTGATTGCAAGAAAATTATCAAACCGATAAATCACGGGTGATCGCGTGTTACTACAATTTTGACGAGTAGTCACTGTCGAAAGGAAGTTGTTGAAAAAGTCAGTCTGTTGAAGTGCTGGCGAGGGTGGGATTTGAAACACAGCGTGCGTGGACGGGCCCACTTGTGGATCCAGGCCGTGTACCTGATCGGCCACCGGGCGAAAGGGGGCGGGCGTTGTTGTCCTCTGGATTTTACGGGACCACCGCTCCTCCGCCGCCCCCCTGCCTAATATCGATCCAGCATGGTATAAACCTAGTAAGTGGGGTCCTTTTCCTCCGTTTTCTCTCCCTTTTATGTTTACCCAACACGCCTTTAACGTCGACTCTCTTATCTCACCGACGCGATTTGCCCCGTTTTTAATATCCGGATAAATTATCTTATACAGTACCTTATCGGAAACAGTTTGACACCTTTTTAAAGGGAGGGTCAGTTTCTAAGAGTTGTAAAACGTGAAATTTCTCATTATCTCCTACTATTATTATACTTTTTATCTGTTTAATCTTTTATATATTATTACCTCTTTAAGCCGCAATAAATTTTCCCTGCCAGAATAGTAAACCGATAGATAGGTACTGAATTATTTTTTACCGAACCTTAAGAACAATTTGACTAAAAAGAATTCTCTTCATATATTCCCTTTAATAATATACAGTGTTTTTTTTAGATGGCTCGGCTGAATTTCTCTTGAACTATAACGTTATTGAAAAACAAACAAACACATATTTAATATTTTTTAGTTACTTTTAAAATTTGACCCTTTTTTTTGGAAATATTTGTTGTTATGGTACTTCAGAGCCAGTGCAAGTTTGAAATTTTAAATGAGAAAGTACACATTTTAGGCGCTGTTTTAAAGGATTTTTTTTACACTGAAAAACGATGGCGTAATCAGATGTGTACATTAATAGTTATGGCACATAATGTGAAAATAAATATCTCAATTTCATCTTTAGTATTAAATATTTTCATTGGTCGTTTTGATGCTAGTTGGTTTTATGAATTTTTTGGGATGATGATGAGCATTATCGAAAAACCAAAACATACATATTATATATTTTTTAGTGTAGTTTTACATTTTTACCCCTTTTTTAAATATATGTTGGGGTACTTCACAGCCTGTACAAATTTGAAATTTCAAATGAGAACGTACACTTTTTACGCGCTCTGTTAAAGGATTTTTTTTACTTAATGTTCCTTTGTTGTTAATGTTCCTTTCAGAGAAGTCGGTTTGGGGTACAGAAATACCTCTTGCTTGACCAGCACTTTGAACAGTTTCCTTCTTCCTCGTGAAATGTCGAATCACGTTTCGGTCGGCTAAATCGATTTTATGCATGTGGTATAGGAGCCTCTTTTTGCGAAATTGTTGTCTGCATAAGACAGTGAAAATATTTGTTGGCTGGTTAATCCGGCTGAATCAATTTTTTGCGTTTATCTTGCTTATTTTGAGGCTGAATTAACACGCAGTTAAGGCATCCGACTCGCATTTGCCAGGCTACGATTCGGGGTTCGAATACTGACGTATCCAATGAAATTTTAATTGAGATTAATGTTAATAAGTTGCTAAGGATTGAACTTTCACCGCGACATTCAACGGGTGGTTGTTGTAAGTTACTCCCTCCTGTAAGACAAGAATTCATTTACTATATAAACTATCACAAATAGCACAGTATGCTAATTCCAATAGCACACATACTAGTGTTAAAATAATTCAATGGATCTACCTAATATATTTTGGAGGTCTCAAGTTGGAACACGTTAGATTGCTATTTGCAAGTGAAGTTGGATAACCACATCAAAGCCGAGGAGTCAAGTGTGACAGTATAACTTCAGCGCCTTACTAACCCACCCCCTTAGACAATATTATTTGAAAAGAAAGGCCTTATCTCGGGTATACTGCTTTTTACGCCTCCGCCTTTGTTCGTAGATAAAGAAGATTTTTTTTTGAAGAATAAAGAGAGCAGTCATTACCCTTTCTTCGAAATTTCTACGGTTAAAGTGAAAAGAAACTCGGCCGATCATCCGCCCTCAATTCGAAATCCACCCTCTAAACGATTCACAGGGGAGAAACCCGAACAAAAAAAAAAAAAAAAAAAAACGGTGTTTGACGGACCGAGTTTCAAAAGTTAGGCTCGACTGGGATTCAAAAATTTGTTGAGTCGACACACGGGTTTTATTCGATTCCGTAACAGTCGAAGAATAAAGTTTATTCTGTTTAACAACCCATTTCAGAGTAAAACACATAAACAAATATAATTAATTAATTACACGCACCCTTGAAAATGTAAAAGGTAATAAATGGATCTGAAGAGTTCCCAATGGGTGACCTCTAGAGACCTCTTGACCGCTGTCCTTCAGACTTATCTTGCTGGAGAGGAAGCTTTCGAAATATTATTTTTAATTTGACATGACCTTGCAGCTGATTTACCAACACTTTTTACGCACTGTTTGAAACGATTTGTTACAGTCATATTTTAAATTGTCAAAGAATAACAAAGTTATGGCATATAATGTGAACAACTTGGTGATGACGTGGATTTACTTAATTAGAGGGTTTTCCTGTGTCCACTTTCAGAAATGTTACAGAATGAACACCATTGTGGTGGACATGGATTCATGAGTTCACAAGATGTATGGGAGAATATTGTCTTCTGTATCTCAAATCGATATCTCTGAAAGGAAAATTAACCGTCTATAAAAATCACTGTCCCGAAGCCCCTGGACAAAAGTCGATAGGGATATAGTTAAAAAATGTATGTTCTGAAGACATATCTAATCTTGTTCATTGAAAATCCCAAAACCCATCAGTCTTTCGAAGGGAGGAGTGTGGATTTTAGAGAAAATACAACTCAATGTTTAGTTTATCAATAAAATGATATGGCCGGGTTCTTGATGTGTCCCAACATCTCATAATTGTGCAACACGAATAAGCGATTTGTGGTTCAGCC